ACGTTAGGACAAGGATTTTTGAACAGTTGAAGTGATTTTGAAGTCACTTATTCAGAGGAATAGAGGAAGCCACCTTAAGGCCAAAGTGAAGCCTGCACCGTCACCAGGGCTCAGGCTGCCAGCTCTGGATCTCAGCTTGTCTTGTAAGGCAAACCTCTTTGTTTACACCGGTACAATACGACTGCCTACTAGGATCAAATTAACTGAAAATAAGCTCTGGAAGGCTGACAGCTTTAATTGTCATTTAATAGACCCATTTCCCAAACTCCCTAATATCTTGTGTTGATTGTGATTACAGAGGGTCCCATGAGTAAATCTAATTTAAATTGATGCTCAATTTGGCCAGGACTGAAGAACTACTGGGTGGCAGTTGCGGAACAAAACGGGGTAAAATTTCTTTCATCTTTTGGTGGTTAAAGTACTTGAACTTTAATTCTTAAATACAGCCCATCTGGAATCCTTAAATGAAAGCTTTAATTCTCTGAGAAAGGATTTGAAGGTCTCTTTGTCTTCCACTGAAGGTTTTAAGAGGCAGTGAGCAATTAATAAATGAGATCATCGGCAAAATAAAATTCTTCTTTAAACTGAATTTTAATAGGCTCATATCTCAACCTGGGCTTAGTGGTGTTTAGGATGAAAGGATGCTGGTTATTTGTATGACCTCTGGGAGACCTATAATGATTGGGGGGAAAGAAATTACAATCTTTCAGCCATTCATGCTTGGAAAATTACTTTCAATAGGCACATAAATTATCCATGTCTTGCTTTTCATTTGGGGAACATTCAGAAATTACCAGAAAGTATATAGTGGATCGATATTTGCTACACTGGTTGTCTTTTTTATTTTTTTGTTCCTCTTTCTCCCAAGTTCTCTGTTAGGGTCATTGCTGTCAGTGAAAAATGTCTAAATAGATCGTCTTCACCTGAGGTATTCCTATGCTTTTCCAGAGCTATCTGTTGTAACAGATGCAGGGCATACTTTTGACTGCATGTGGTTCTTATTACATCTTCACATGAGATTGAGGTCTGCTGCATAAATTGGTGGAGGTTCTCTGAAACCAACTTAAGGATTATTCCCTTTTTATCACAGCAGTCTAAAGGCAGGTCCATTACAAATATGAGTCAGACAGATGACTCTGCAGGACAGTCCCATCAATAGCCTTGAGGCTACTTCTCCAGTCTTTCAGAAAATGTAGTACTTAGGCCGTGTCAGAGGGTGAGAAGTTATCTCCTTGGATCCGCAACACACATGTTTACAGCACGAAAATGCTTAGTGATACTAGTACATTGAAAAAGTCATTCACAGATAGAAAAATCTTTTGAGGATTGAGAAAGTGTTACAGTCTCCACAAACAAGGATTAGGAGCCATCCCAGGTTATAAGAACAGGACAACGTGAGAGGAAAAAGAAAAATCGATAGTTAATATTTCATATGGAAAACAAAATGAGTTTCTGGGTGGTAGCTCGCATTTTTTGGCACATCTACAATTTTCTTCCTAGTTCTTTATGGGCTTTACTACAAGCTCTTTTACAAAGAAGCAATTGTGATTTCAATATAAAACCAACAGAATTTGCTGTGATGAAATTTCTTGCTCTTATTTGCGGATTGAATAAGAGGCTAATATAAAAGAACACATTCCTTTTTAGTTATGTGAATGGATATAGACAATAATGTGAATCTGAAATAATTAAACATTTTTAAAACTTCTGAAAAAGACTCATGATACAGCCCTGTGGTTGAAAAAGATATCCGTTTTGTTTTTTTTTTTCTTTCTTTCTGAGATTCAAAAGCAGGGGCCATGAGCTGGAGCTCTTTGCTCATTTGAAGTAAATTGCCTTGACAGTGCATAAGAGAGAGAAGAGCTCTGAGATAATTGGGTTCAAAACAAGTATTTGCAGAATGGAGACAGGAAGCTTTTTTTGCAGATTAAAAGATGGGTAAATGAATGATTGGGTTGAAGGTTCTATCTGAGGAAAGATACAAACAGGAATCATAATTCAGTTGGAGAATCAAAAGGGAGAGAATATCTAAATATTCATTCAATAAAGAAAACTCCCCACAGCTGAGCATTTGCTGGGTTCAGGCACAGGCAGTAGGTAGCAGGAATCACTGAGGAGCCCTGCCTCTGTCCACTCAGTCCTCTCTGAAGGTGACTTCCAGCTTTAGTGGGCACTCCCCAACCATTTTGCCAGAGGATGTTCTCTGGCCACAGCAATGCACCCTTGCCTGTACACTGTGCAGGCTAGAAGCTCTGCAGAGTCAAGAAGTCTTACAAGTAATCCTCCAACAATGTGGGATGTGAGTTGGTGGATGAATGTGCCTTGGTGGGACAATCTGGGATGTGAAGTGCAGTGTGTTAGAAGGTCCCCAGTTGGATCTCAGCATGGCTGTCCATAGAAGGAACTTCACTTGCTTTCCTCCCTTCCTTGCCTGGCTTCCCCGGAGCACCGTGGTACTTCCTAGGATCACTTCCCAAATAAACTACTTGTAGCTAAATTCTTTCACAGGCTCTGGTTTGGGGGGAATCCAAACTAAGATATAGGCTGAACGGATGTTTGATGGAGAAAAATTGGGGGACATTTGTATTAAAATGTTGATTGTGTTTGATCTACACTCAGAACAGAGTTTAATATAGAAAATGGGGATATTTTATGGAATGAAGGAGTGGGGAAGTCATGAATGTTTGAGGGAACTAGCAACATTTACTCCCAGACTGGTTGTGATGTGTAATTGATTAAGAGGTTGAAATGGAACACAGTCCCTGGTTTTGAGGATGGTCACAAAGTTTGCATCATCTATAGTGACAAACAATGAAACTAAGGGTGAAATATTTTTTGGGAAAACTCCCCAGAGAGTAAATAATTGTGTTTAGCATGTGAAGTCCTTAGAATTTCGGATCTTTCCCTCAAATTCCCATATCATTATATTCTTTCCAGTTAGATGATGAAATATGCACATGCACATTTACATTTTTCTTCCTCTTTCAAAAAACCCCCAGGTAGAGACATGAGGAAAGGAGACCTCCACATTTTGTTGGGAGCAGGCAGCTATTGACTCCATTATGTGTAATTTGTGTTTTCTGCCTTCTTTAAAAACTTCAAGGAACAACAACAAAAAAAAAAGAGTCACATTACAGGATCACACCTGCTATAAGCTTTAAGCTGAGAAGGACATGTTAGAGCTGTTTATTCTTATAAGAAGTATCTTAATTTAATTGGATCCTCTTGGCATTCAACAACGTCCATTAACCTCGGCAGTTTTTGAAGCTGAGAATACAGCCAGTTCCTTATATCATAGTTTAAATCTCTTTCCCTGCATCGACTTTTTACAGTTTCGTGATTCTACTTTGCGCGAATAAGGACATTACCTTTCCGGGGCCATCTTCATGAGTCAGTGACTCATAGAGTCCAGGTCTGCTTTCAAGGTTAGTTGAGCTAGGACATGACAGCATAACAACCGTAAAATGGAAATGATTTTTCCAACCAGCCTCTCTCACCATCTGATGTGTGGAAATTTTTCCAGCTTTCACAGCTGAAGCATTGCTAATTGTTGAATTTACATTAAGATTGTAAGCTCTGACAAGCCTGAAATTCATTTTGGCTCATTTCCTCAGCCTCATTCCACAAATAGTATCTCCAGCCCCAAATGCTAAGGCCAAAGGAGAAAGAACCCGAGCTGTGTAAGGCAGCTCTTTGGCCTTTTTCTTACGATAGCAAGATGCTTTCTATAGCAGTGAAGAGAATTCTAAGCATTTGAAAATGTGTCCTTATGTGAGCCTTTTCTGTGTCACTGTAGACCAAATTAGTTCACATTAGGGTAGGAGGGAATGAGATTTTTCCTACCAGGGCAATCTGTGCAGAGGGAGGGTTAGTGCTTTTTGGGAAATTTTGATCATTTCCTTCCAGTTTCTTTCAGTTCTAGCAACAACTCAGTAATGGTGGCTGCGTGGGAGGTCGATCCGTGTTTAAATCAACACTAATTTAACAATATAATCAAGCCTTTCTTCAGAATTCATGTGGTGATAGCAAAAACCATTTCAAGGGTAAATGAATATTTTTTGAGGGTGGGGATTCTTTAGATGCTGAAAATACATTGAATAGTGATGCGTCTCTGAGTTATAAAGAACTAACATAGACAAGTTTAAAGGGCATTTTTTTTGTGTGTGATTTTAGTTGATTTTGCTAAAAGTGGGGTAAGAAATGTCACGGGAAAGGGTCACACTGAAAACCCATTCTACGTTTTTCCTTCTTATTAAAGTGTGTGCCGTTATGTCCTAAGGGCAATTAGGATAAGTGAAAGTTTCTTCACCTTAAAGTTAGCTTCCAAAAGCATTGGTCTGCATTTAGCTGTTTGGTAAACATTCAGGATCAACTGTGTACAATGAACATAATGTTAAAAAATGTCATCATTTTTCCTCTGCATTTTCCCTAGATGATGAGCTATTATTATTTTACCTTTTTAATGAATGAAATGTCTTTGAATGTCAGTTATCTAATTAACAAATCATCAATAGTTAATTGCCAAGATAAGAACAAAGGAAAATGTAAAAACAAGACAAATCATCTCCTTCTCCAAGTGGGAAACTCAATAAAATATGGTCAGTTTAATGGATTCCAGGAGGAGAAAAATATAAAACCTATAAATAACTCATTTTATTCTCTTTTTAAAATTGTTTTGGGATTATGGTATAGACTCAATCATAAACACCTGGGGCAATTCAGTTCTTAAATATATTTACATGTAAATAAGAGGGAAAAATTATCCTAGGGCTATTTATATCTCAATGAAGAGAGCAGAGAATGACATTAAAACTTCATGATAACCTTCTTCTGGATACCTCAGTTTATAATGTTTCCTTTGAAGGGAAAGGCCTGGATTTGTAGGCCTAACTTTAAGGACTCTGACTGGAGGCAAAACTGGGGAGTGGAAGTGAGGAGAAAAGGATGATGTTATGAGTTATCTGTTGCTGAATAATAATTCACCTTAAAACATATGACTTAAAGAACAGTCATGTTATTGTCTTTTATAACTTTTGTGAGCTGGGAATTCAGGAAGGATTTAGCTGGGTGCTACTGTCTTGGAATCTCTCCTCTGATTGTAGCCAGACAGTGGTTGGAGTAATAAAAGTACAAGGGTTGGGGGGTGGAGGAAAGGAGGCTGAGGGTGAGATTAGGGGAGCAGCTGCATGGTGGCCGGGCATCTCTCTCTCAGGATAAAGCTTCATTGCTTCCCTTGCCATCTTTTCACTTAACTAGAAAAATAAAAACAAGTCAAATCAAGTTGGCACAAAAGGAATAGGGGCAGAAGAGGTGAAATCAAATCAAGTTTGGGCTTCCTCACCACATGGCAGTTTCGGGGCCACTGGACACTTACTTGGTGGCTCAGCGTCCAATGCCTATGTGAATGAGGTGAGCTTCATCATTTATAACTTAGTCTCAGAAATCACTCCGTGTGGTTACCAGCAAGTCACACATCTGCCCAGATTTAAGGGAAGAGGAAGTAAAATCCATGTCTTAATGGAGAAGTGCCAAATTTCTGGACAACCTTAGGAACAGGAAATATTCTTGTGGCTGGTGTCTACCACAGGTGGCCAGGTAAATCTTGGAAGCAACCACGTGTTCCTTCAGTAGGTAAGGGATAAATAAATCGTACATCAAACAATGGAAAATTCAATGTTGAAAAGAAATGAACTATCAAGCCGTGAAAAGACATGGAAGAATCTTAAATACATATTACTAAGTGACAGAAGCCAATCTGAAAAGGTAACGGACTGTAAAATTTCAACTGCATGACCTTCTGCAAAATATAAAACTATGGAGACAATAAAAAGATCAGTGGTTATTAGGGGCTGAAGGGAGTGGGAGGGATGAACAGCATAAAGGCCAAGGAGCCTTCTGAAGCTTCACTAAAAAATCAACTCACAAAAGGCAGATTAATTGGAAAAAAAGCATACAGATGTATTTACATTCACAGGGGAGACATGGTGATTACTTCAACCACCCACTGGAGTGCAGAAGCTTATACACCTTCTTGAGATTACAGAAAAGAAGAATGAGTCCACAGGAATACATCCTGGTCCTAAGGTTTTCCAGGAAATCTTAGGATCCTGATGAAACCAACTATGTGAGTAGGGACAAGAGGAAATCTGTTGAGGTACAGTGCATGATTCCTAGGGAGCAGTCAGTGGGCTGGAAGAGCATCCAGTTGTCTGGGACAAAGTCTGTTGGGCTTGCAGAGTGGAGAATTGTTTGTGCCAAAAGTCTGTTCAGGTGTGTTAACAGACTTCAATCTTTCTTCCTGGAATACAGGTTCAGTTAATGAAAACTCTGGGAAGGGGCCAGAGGTCATTGTTTTCTTCTTCAGCAGGTTCAGACTTTAAGCGGATAAGGAAACAAGATAATCCTAGGTTTGGGGAAAGAAAGTGGGGCAGAAGTGGTAGTGGAAAGGTCAGAGAGACATTGACGCTTCTTCAGTTCAGCGTGTCAAAATGCCATATTTTGGGGTATTAGTTTCTGATCCTCGATGATAGAGCACAGATTTTCGCAGCAGTGAAAGCGATCTGGATGATATCATAACAATGGACTCATGTCATTATGCATTTGTCCAAACTCATAGAATGTACAACACCAAGAGTGAAACCTAGTGTACACCGGGACTTTGAGTGATTATGATATACTCAATATAGGCTCATTAATTGTCATTTATTACACTCTCATAGGGGATTTTGATAATGGAGGGGCTACGCATTTGTAGGGACAGGGGTATACAGAAAAATCTTTGTACTTTTCTTCTGTCTTTGCTTTGAACCTGAGACTGCTCTTAAAAATAAAATCTTCAAAAAAGGAAGCAAAGAAAGCACTGGTGTGCGCTGCCTGTACCTACCCTCCCCATTTGGCCAGGCACACCCATCTGCACATTACCTCTTCTGCCCCTGTATTCCTTTTGAGCCTAACTTGATTTGACTTGTTTTTATTTTCAAGTTAAGAATTTGTGGATCTGATGTAGAATTGGCTGCTTCTGACTCCTTGATTTGAACCCTTCCTAAACCGGGCATCAGCTCCCAGTTTGGTTTCCTGCTAAGCTACTTTCTTCAAGTATTTTGTGTGGGCTCCTGCCATCTTAGCTTCTGTTCTAAAGGATCTCTCCTTTCTCCTGCACTAGTAGGTAAGTCCCTGTTTCCCCATGAGTGACAAAGGAGATTCAGCTTGGTCAGGACTGGGGACTTGGAGAAGACCACGTCAGCTTGGTCAGGACTGAGGAATAACATTTTAGCATGTGCATTTTTTATCAACTGGATTTTTGAAGAGTTGGTGAGGAGAAAGCTAAAAAAGAGACAAAAGTTTGGTTTGTGTATAAAAGCTTAGACCTATAAGAACATTACAGATAATCTCATCCAGCCCATATTGTATAGGTAAGAGAATTGAGGGTCAGAGAGATCTACTGATTTCCTCACCAACATTGGCACCAGGCAGTTGAATTAAGGTCTCCTGGTTTCTGGTAGATACACATAGAAAAAGTTTTGCAAGAACCAAACGCATAGCCACTAGCAACACACTTTTGCTTTACTCTTCATTAGAAGAAGCTGTCAGTGAGCATTCAAATAGTTTTGTTAACATTTTTTTTAACCTTCTAAGGAAATAATACTTCCGGTATTTAAAATAAAAGGGCCACTCAGGTACTTTGAAATAATGGGAACAGTATGTTTCCTCTTGGGCTAACTCTACCAGGGATTCAGAAACACCTGCTCATCTTTCAACCCCTCATTCTCCCGCCCATCTGTCTACTCTGAGATTTGGTTAGCACCCGAGGTTTGACAGAGATCAGTTGGGACCAAATTTGTGATGAATCCTCAGCCTGCCACTATCTTGGGCAAATATGCTTCTGAGCTGTAGCCAACATTTGGGATCCCTTTGAGAGTCAAGCTTTGGTCACATTATCCTCTAGCATCCCTGATATTACAGGTTCAGCTAGTGGGGAAAGGTTGTAGGTAAAGAGTAGGCTGCTAGAGGATTCTAGAACTTTCTCTCCTGTCCCAAGGCTTTCAAAGCAGAGATGTATGAAAGAGTAGAGACAGCCAAATGAGTCCAGGATAACATCTGATTTGCTTTCCTCGGGAGATTCAATGACATGATGTGTCACATGAAAATGTTGAGAAGTTAAACACCAGTTATTGGAGTGGCTGCAGGTTGTAACGGCAAGCTAGTTGAAATCAGAGCTAAGCCCAATCTTAGCAACATCCCCTAATGGCTGAGTGAGCTTGGCAATACAGTTTTCTTTTTTTTTAATTTTAGGTTCCTGTCCTATAAAATGAGACCATGCCTGGGCTGAATTGTGTGCTCCCCACATTAACATCCTGAAGTCCTAACCCCCAGTACCTGAGAATGTGACTGTATTTAGAGACAGAGCCCTTAAAGAGATAGTTGAGGTGAAACAAGATCATAGAGTGGGCTCTAATCCAACAGGACTGGTGTCCTTACAAGAAAAACAAATTAGGACACTGATAAGCACCGTGGGAAGATACTGGCAAAAAATAGCCAAGGAGAGAGATTGTAGAAGAAACCAACTGTGCCGCCATCTTGATTTTGGATGTCTGGCTTCCAGAGGTATGAGAAAATAAATTTCTGTCATTTAAGTCCCCCATTCCATGATACTTTGTTATGGTACTTTGTTATGGCTCTAACTGCCATAACAATGGAAAGATTTTTAAAAACCTTAAATCACTATCTAAATTAAAGCCATCAGTAAAACACTAATGGTAGTTACTGTCCCTACCTTTTCGAGATTGAAGGAGTTGGAGACTTGGGGAACTGGGCAGAGCTAAAAAGTGTACAGCTATGGAAATTTCTCTAGGCCTCCAGGAATTAACGTGTTGAGAGGATGTTCCTTGATTTGGGCTCATCTGAGTAAGATGTGATGAAGCTGAGGAACTTGCTCTGTCTGGCCAGACTGTGTCAAAAAACCTGGACAGAAGAAAAAAAGGAAACTCTAAGTCCTTTGTGTTTATATTAATGATTGTCTTTCAGTCCAGAACGGGAATCTTGTCCCCTCCTCGTCACTCAGAATTCCCAAATATAGCTGAGTTGTTGGCAAATTTCTAAGAAAATGTTTTAGCCGTGAAATGAAAGTGTTGTTATTCTTTAGGAAAAAGGAAATCACCTTGAGTTTTATAAGGGGCAGAATAACTGCACTAAACTCTAGATGTTCATTTTTACATGTGTTGGATAGAAGTAATCTTTCTAGCCTATACTTTTCAACTCAATGTTTATTTAGTCAACCTCTCGGAGAACTGAGCACTGCCCTGGTGGAACATTAGAGGGTGGTTGGAATGCACAGAAAGCCATGAGCCCTTGCTTTGCCGCTGGTACAACATAATTGGTGTTATACAGGCTGACAACAGCCAGGCAGTCATGCATCAAGGGAGTTTGCAAGGTAAAAGAAAAAGCATGTAAGGTTAAGCAGGGAAAGAGAGTTCTGTACTTTGTCTTTTGGTCTGAGAAGGCATCTTCTTAGCATCTGTGTAGAGGAGTCAGTAATTTTCTATTCAAAAGACATGGAATCCATTAAGGTTTCACAGCAGTTTTTAATATAGTAACCTCCTCTTCCTTCTCTCCTTCCCCGCTTCCTAAGCCATGTTATATTCTCTTTGCACAAGTTTTCATGAGCTCTGCCTTCATCAAGGGAATTGCAATGAGAACCCTCGAAAAAAAGATTACCAATTTAGAGGCTGAATATGAAAAGAACACATTTTAAAGTAACTTTTGCTTGACATCTCAATTTGTAATTGAGATTTGTGTGTTTTTTTTTTTTAATAAATAAACAAACCTAGAAGTATTGAAGCATTTTGTTTGGTAGAAATGAGCAATGCAAAAATTATAGTGATCAGAGCATTTTATCATCAGTAGAGTGCCTTGATCAACCTAAGATGAAGGCAATTTGTAACTATAAATGATTCCTTTTAATCGGATTAATTTTGTTGCTATTTGGGGGCTTGAAGCTGCAGCATCTGAAGTTTAGGATAGGTAATAATGGTAAACATTACTGAAGAAACACTTATTCTGGAGGATTCGTCAGGGCATTTCATTTCTATCACTTTACAGAAGTAATCATTTCATTAGGAATTTTTATCACTAATCTGATTTTTAAAAAATGAATCCTTTAGAAAAAGATGAATTAAAAGTGCTTTCATAGAAGAAGGTATGGACTCAAATGGCTTTAAAAAGTAAATTCCTAAGTTGTAATTCCTTGAGGTGAATGCAAGGTGAAATATGTAAATAAATTAGGCTGAGGAGAGAGCAGTAGTGGTCCAAGACCTTCAAAAGACTGGAGTTCCATTTCTCTATTGTACCTCACAGTGCCTGGGGCAGATACTACTCCTGCTCAGGAAATAGCGCCATCTTCTTCCCCTCTACAGAACACACCAGAATCTGTTGTGACCTGGATGTGTTCTCGACTTTGCCAGGACAATCTAAGGGCTGCCACAAGACCCTGTCAGCAGCACTAGGGTCTCTGGTCTACAGGAAGAGCTGCTTTCAAACGTTGACTGTTAATGCAATTTAATTCCGTTTTAAATGTTTCTCTTCCCACACTGTGGAAGAACAGTTTGTTAACTGACATTTGTGGCTTTGGAAGATGATGCAGTGTATTTTGTAGTCCATGCACTGAATGCCTGGATCCATTAGAGATCTTCTAGGAGTCCCAAGGCGTGCTAACACCCCTTGAAATGACTTCAGAAGAGCAGGCTGCCACTCTAGGCCTGCCTAACAGTGGCACTGTAGGGGGTGTAGCTGCTAGGTGTGGGTCAGTGCTGGTGTTTTCTTTTGGATTCCTGTTGGCAGGAAAATCTATCTGAGCTTTGGTAGATGTGTGCAGAAGGAATATTAGGCTTGGGTTAGCCCAGATCTGTCTCTGCATTGATAAAGGAATGCTTTATTTTTTATTTAAAAAATTATTTCCATAGGTTTTGGGGGAACAGATGGTATTTGGCTGCATGAGTAAGTCCTTTAGTGGTGATCTGTGGGATTTTGGTGCACCCATCACATGACCACTATACACTGACCTCAGTTTGTGGTCTTTCATCCCTTGCTCCCCTCCCACCCTTTCCCTGCAGTCCCCAGAGTCCATTGCATCGTTCTTAGGCCTTTGCATCCTCATAGCTTAGCTCCCACTTACAAGTGAGGACATAAGATGTTTGGTTTTCCACTCCTGAGTTACTTCACTTAGAATCATAGTCTCCACTTCTATCCAGGTTGCTGCAAATGCCTTCAATTTATTCTTTTTTTATGGCTGAGTAGTATTCCATCATACATCTACCACCGTTTCTTTATCCACTTGTTGCTTGATGGGCATTTGGGCTGGTTCCATATTTTTGCAATTGTGCATTGGGCTGCTATAAACATGCATGTGCAAGTATCTTTTCTGAATAATGACTTCTTTTCCTCTGGGTAGATACCTAGTAGTGGGATTGCTGGATCAGAGGGTATTTCTACTTTTAAGGAATCTCCACGCTGTTTTCCATGATGATTGTACTAGTCTGCATTCCCACCAGCAGTGTAGAGTGGATGCTTTATTGAAGACTTGCTTGTACCTTCCCTAGCATACAGCCTCCTAACACATCTTCTAGTAAGCAGGAAGGAAGGGAGCAGACATATAAATCGCGTTCTAGGTACCTCCTTTGAGCACTCAAGTATAACTTCCATGGAAGACTGAGATGCCTGTGCAGAAAGTGAGGACAAATTGATGAGCTGGAGATCTGAGAACCAGCTTTCTGTACAATATGCTGAGGGGCTATTAATCTATTTTTCTGGTTTTTTTTAAACTCTTACTAATAAATATATGTCTATTTTATGATATTGAAGAAATAAACAAAAATGAGCAAATAAGAGTGAACTGAACACTTTTTACCTGAAGATGACCACCACAAATATGCCAGGGCCATCCTCTGAGCTCTTTTCTGTGCTTACACAGCTACACACACAGCAAACACAGATTTACCAAATGTGATCGTTTTATTAAAACTGTTGTCATTTTTAATGATTGCATGGTAGTTCTTTTAAAGATGGTACCCACATATTTTAAGCAAGATTTTATTGCCAGACATCTAATTGTTTCTGGATGTCTCCTAGTGTAAACCACAGTGTCCTGAATGCTTTCATAAATAATTATGCAGGTATATCCATGACCATTTTCTTAGCATAAATTCCCAAGAAAAATTGAGAACTTCTGATACATATTGCCAAATTGCCGGCCTGAAGAGGTTTTGCATTCAAAACATGTTTACTAACTGATTAGTCAGTTTACATCCAGGGTTGGCTGTTAAATGGGGACATCCAGCTGTGAAGAAGAAAACACAGTGTCCTCATAGAGATAGCCATTAATATGTAAACATAACCGTTTTGAATGTCACACAAGGGGAAGCCCAGGAGCCATTGGAGGTCATGGGGAAGAACCACTTTAGAGTCCCCCAGGGGTGTGTGGGCGGGCCTGTGTCCTGGGGTCCTTGCCAGAGCCTTCTACTATGGTTTCACCGCATTTTATATCGAAGTAAATAAAAACAAGATCCTGGGCTGCACATTTATCCTTGAGTACGGCCCAAGTGTAAGGCACCATATAATCTTTTATGATCTCTGTCCTACTTTGGATTCAGGCTTAAAGCCTTGTTCAGAGATTTAAATTTAATCAATGGAATCATACCTGGTAAGAAGACAGCTGTCTCAGGCTACAAGACTAGCTGGTGCTGTCTTCCCTCAACACCATGAGGGGGGCCTGGTTTCCTTCTTGACCCAATTAGTCACTTGCACATATATGGGGGGATCACCCTTTTTTTGATCCCTTCTCTCTGGGAACATAATGAATTCATTGTATTTTTTTCTCCTTCTCTCCCTGCCTCTCCTCTTCCTCTCCCTCTCCCCTCCTTCTCTTCCCTTCCTTCCTCCTCCCCTTCCCTCTTCTCTCCCCTTTGCCCCTCCTCCCCTCCCCCACTCCTTAAGGTATCTATTTTTCTATATCATGAGCAACTTGGTGGGGGATGACCCATACTTGAGTTTCTGGGTTCAGTAAATGCTCAATAAATTGTTGACTAATTGGCTGAGTGCCTGAACGATGTCACTTGACTGTTTTACGGCTACCTGGCATCATTAGTGGCATTAGTTAGGACTCTGGGTTTACATTATAGAAGGCAACCTTGCTTAAAGGGGCTATTTTTGGTCATATAAATATTAAGCCTATCTATTTAAATTTTCGTAAGTCCTTATTGCCATTAAACTCTCCCTTTATTGTCACTTTTTTTTTTTTTTGTAAGGGAAAGACTGTCACTTGATCAGCCGTATAACAGCCTTGAATGTCAGCTTAGGGATGAGGGCTTAGGATTTTATGTAAGGAAAGCCCCAAGTGGTGGAGAGGTGGAGAAACCACTCATTCCTGCTGCAGGCTGATGGTGGGAAGGAGAGAAAGGACTGAGTGGGGAGAAGGAAACTCCCACGAGTAGGCCTGAGAGGGATGGGTGTGTTAGACAGGTAGAGGAAAGTGCTGAAGATGACAGTTTTCTGTCATACCACAAGAGGCTGCAGAGGCTGCGGGGAGACTCCCTCATTGAGAAGGTCTCAGGGAGAATGTAGCAAAGGCTCAGGGTTCAGCAAGAGCTGGGGAAGGGCTTGGCAGTACAAGAGGGGTGGGTTATGGGGTGTAGGCAGAGAGAGGCTGGTGCACAGGGTACACACTGCTGCATGGGGCTGTAGGGGCTGCAGCTGTGATATTTGTCAGAATAAGCAGTGACCAGGTGGACCAAGGACACCCTGCCAGAAGCCAGAAGGGAAGCCAGAGGGGCTCTGGCAATCCAAGAACCTCTGTACTCCAGAGCCATAGGGCTGCAAGAGCTCTCTTTCCTCTGTTCAACTCAATAAAGGAGAGATGGAACAATTATCCGGATTAGAGAAAACCAAGTACATATTCTCCCCACTAAAACCACACAAAATTTACATTTTCTTCGCATTTGAGTTGTAGCATGAACTATAGTGCAACTCTGTTAGGCTAGTTTATACATAAAAGAGAATTTACTAGTTCACAGAATCCACCAGTTTGTAGAGGATGTAGTGGTCATGAGATGTGTAAGTTTTGAGAAGGTGCAGGCTCACTGGAGGCAGGGGCTCTGCTTTCTGTCTGCGCTAATCTTTGCTTCGTGCTGCACCTCAGCTTTCTTCTTTCTCACTACTGACCAGTTCCTTCATGTCGGGAAGTTTTATACTCAATATTTCAACCATTAGAGGAAGAGAGACTTCCCTCAGGTTTATTTGTTTTGGCCTCAAGTTCAAACTCTCAAGGAATGATTATATTGGCTGTGTTGCAGTCAGATGTCTTCTTGCACGTCTTAGGGGAATCATCCTTCTTTTGATGATGCTTCTCTCTGGGAACATAATGAACTCATTGTATTTCCTTTTTTCTTCTTCTCCTTCCTCTCCTTCTCCCCCTCCCTGACCTTCATCCTCAAAAGTATCTCTTTCTTTTTCTATATCATGAGCAACTTGATGAGGAGTGACCCATACTTTAGTTCCTGGGTTCAGTAAATGTTCAGAACAATCAGTTGTAGCCTGGGGATGTTACTTTCCACACCTCCTTCCCTCTTGGGTCAATTGCCTACTCCTGAACCAACAAACTGTGGTCGAGTGATACAGGCGGTTCACGGTAGCCATATGAATGAGGGAGAGTCCCCAAGAGAAAGGTTGAGTGAGGGTATCTCCGTCGGTCTGGACTGCCATATTGGGCAGCTTAAACAGCAGACATTTATTTCTCACAGTACTAAAGGACAGGAAGTCCTAGACCAGGGTACATGCATGGTTGGGTTATGGTGAGGGCCATCTTCCTGGTTCACAGATAGCCATCTTCTTCCTATATCCTCATATGTCAAGGAGAGACAGAGAAAGAGAGAGAGAGAGAGAGAGAACGAACTCTCCTCTTCTCAGTGCATTCATCCCATAATGAGGCTCCATCCCTGTGACCTAATCACCTCCGAAAGGCCCACCTCCAAGTACCATCACAATAGGGATTAGGGATTCAACACATAAATTTTTGGGGGACGCAAACATTGAGTTAATAGCATTTGGTGATGTTGAAAGCAAGTCCCGGTAATACACAACGTGACATCAGTCCTCTGCCAAGACATTCAGGACGGCCCAGGACATTCTGGCTTCTTAGGATTGTAGGGGAGGAAAAGGTTCATGCTGAGGTCGCTGTAACAAAAGGCAGATTGACAAAATGAAAGCATACACATTTATTTTTTATGATTTTATGTGACATGGGAGCCTTCATAAAGAAATGAAGACTCAAAGAAACAGGTAAACTTGTGTATTTTTATGCCTAGGCTTGTGAAGAGTGGTCAGTCATAGAGCAGTGTGATTGGAGGAGAAAAGAATATGATGTAATGGTAAAAGCTGGGGGAGTCTTAGTAAACCATGTGTTCTGATTCTTCTTGGTGTCTCTGTGTCTTTGGCTGCTCTCCCTTTGGTTCAAAGAGGGCTCCTCTTGAATGAGAGTCTTATGACCTGCTTTAGGGACCCTTCTCCACCTCCCATGTTAAGCGGGAGGGGCCTTCTCATTTCTGTTGTTTTCTCAAGTGCTGATGAGCCATCTTTCAGGGTAATGTGTTTTAAGTCCTACGAGTGATGGAATGGCCAGTGGCTTACTCAGAGAAGTCCACAGTAATCCTACCAGTCTCCAAGATGTCCCCAGTGCTCTTTCACACATGTGGTTTTATCCCCAGCTGAATCTAGCCTGGCCTGTGTGATTAATTGAGCACAGTTGAGCTGGTGGCATGTGACTTACAGGGTAGGACTTACCGAGCTTTGTGGCTTCCATTTGCTTTTATAGGTTCCTTGCTCTTGTTGTGAGCACATTCAAGCAGCCCTGTGAAGGGCTTAAGTGGCAAGGAACAGTGGCCTCCTACTGACAGCCAACAACCCCTTGCCATTCATGCAAGTGGGCCATCTTGGAGCAGACCCTCTGATCAAGTCTTCAGCTAATTGCGGCTCTGTATAACATCTGACTGCAATTTCATCAACAACTTTTTCAAGCCAAACTACCCAGCCAAGTAGCTCCCAAATTCCTGACTCAGAGAAACTTGTTATCAAAAAAAAGGAATATTTACTGTTGTTTTAAGCTTCTAAGTTTTGGGTAATTTATTATGCATGGTTAAATTAATTTGTATACATTTCCAAATCAGGCAAGTCAGGGTTAACTGTCTCATCCTCAAGTAGCTATACATAGTGCCCATCTAATATGACTCAAATACAGAGGAAATGGGCAGAAAATACTACATTCTTTCTTTGGATCCTGTAGGTATTCTTTTAAAAAGACAAAGAAGAAAGAATACAGGAAACAAAGAACCTCTGATGTGTATTTTACCTAGTTTGCTAATATCACTGAAAGGCTGGGAAGGGAAATAGCATAACACATTGAAGAAAGAGAAACACTAAAAAAAGTATTCAGAATAACTGAGTTTTCATCCCAACTCGCTGAGAAGTCATTAAGCTTTTCCTGCTCCAACCTCCCTGGATTACTCTAGGATCACATGAGATAATGAACACGGAAGCTCTCTAAAACTTTTAACATCTTGCAAATATCACATCGTCATTGTTAGAATCATAAGGACAAAGGCTGCGAATGTGGGTTAGAATTGGAAACTGAGGGAAGATGAGTAAGAAGAAATAAGAGAAAACCTGTTCATTTCCTACTGTGATAAAAATAATAATTTTCCTGATAATAGAAAAAATATTTTTAGTCAATGTTGAATATATTTTCTTAATATTGTTTGGGAACATTTCTCTATGTAGGAAACATTGAAATAAGATCTCCATTTGGCCCATGAATTACAGAGTTGGTAATAAGCTGATTCCTAATACTTCTGTCTCCAAGCATTCTCCTGACATCCCACAGCTGTGCAATTGCAGGGGGATTTGAGTTGCAGCTCCGGCTAGGGCTGTGCCACCCACTGATATATAACTTCACCTCCTAGAAAGTGTTATCTGTATCAGTCTTCCCATAGAGACCTCATACCTCAGCAGGTATATTTCATGGGTGAAGGTATGACTGATGAATCTTCTAATTTTATAGTCTGAAATGGGATGATAAAATGCTAGGTTTATAGATACTGTTTCATTGTGGACAACACTCACGTTTCTTATTCCCATCTGGTGTGAAGAAAAGAAATTTGTTCTCCCTTTATTGTGTCATGCTGTTAAATGTACGTAGCTTAAGATCCCGAGGAGTGGAAGCATAGCTATCCACCAGCATAAAAGACGTGGTGCTGTGGGAGATGCTTTAATGCAAGCAGAGCTTAATCAAAGGCATTTTGTTGTCATTGCAGTCATTTTTTTTTATTTTGGAAGGGGAAGATAAATCTTTATGTCCTGGTTTATTAACAAAAACTGCCCTCAAATTAGGATGAACTTTTTTAGATATGCAGTTGTCTGTCAGTTCTTCCCCAAATTTCTTGCTATTAAATGTGCAGACTGCTCCATTGTTGTAGATCATCGGAAATTCTGCCCAAGGACTGTATTTTCAAATGTAGCGTTACCAGGTGGCCTTCCTATGGCCATACAGAATGGCTTCTTTACAGCTTTGAAGGCATCGGAAATACATGTTTCTCTGTTTTAAAACTAAAAAATTTCTACCTGTACCTAATACAGACTGCCCTTTCTGACTCCCCGAATTCTATAGAAAGAACATTTTCTCATGCATATTCATATATTTAGCATGCTCCCATTAATGTATCACTTCTCTTATGGAAGAACAATTAGGCATTCATCTCACTAAAACAGAGGAGAAACATAAAAACACGTGCATCAC